ATATATAACTTATTCAGGTATAATTTCATTATCATCCATCCATTCATTAAACAGATAGTTAGCACCTGCCTATCATATGCTAAGCTGTGTTTCAAATGCTGGGAAGATAACAGTGAATGAGCCAGGCAAAGTCCTTCTCTTCTAGATCTTATCTTCTGAAAAGGAGAGGCAGCAGTGGAGAAGAGACATTACTGAAGACATTGCTAAGGTGTGCTGGCCACACAGCAGGTTGGTATGGTCAACTTTGACATGGGAAGGTTGGAGACTGGTTAGACCGCCGGAGTGGCACCACAGTTTCTGCTATAGTACCATAGACATTCTATTTATTTAGAATTTATTATTTCACAAAGCAAATCCCCCTAATTTTTCAAAGTTTTGGTTACTATATTGTTCTTATACATTTATCCTTATAATTGAATTTTAATAACTATCCAGTTTTATTAACTTTATCAAGTTTTATTAACTTTATCAAGTTCTAAAGGTAATAGTTAAAAAGAAAAATATGCAATTTTGATTTGCATTTCATTAAATCTATATTAATTTGAGGAAGACTACCATATTTACAATGTTTATTTTTCCTATTGAGTAAAAAAATTACCCTTCATGTTATTCAGATCTTTCATTATGGCTTCTGTTAACTTTGATCATGAGGATCTTGCATATTTCTATTAAGTGTATTTTGCCATGTTTCATTTTTTTTTGTTGCTATTGTGATTGTGATTTAACCATGATTGGGATTTTGTAGAAAGAAAAATGATTGCTAAGAATTCTATCTGAAGACATTTTGCTGTTGTGGTGCCTCAACTTCATCACAATCGTATCTTCTCTATAAATCACACTTCCATCATATAATGTATTCCTATTTATTTCACTTGCACTCCACCTTTTCAAAGAATAACAATATCAAAAGGCCAGTGTTTTTAGGTTACATGAATGACATAAGTCTATGAAGCTGCTTTTTTCCAACACCATGAGTCATCCTGTGCTTCATGTAGTGCTGAGAGGAAAGAACCCAGACTAAGTGGAAAAGGAGAGAAAGGAAGCAAAAACACGTCTTCATGGGTTAACAAGAAATACATTTTATGAACAATAAAGGATTAACAATATATATGTTTTGTGAATGATACTGTTGTACTTTAACCTTTTAAAATGCCTTTCTGTGCTTAACTAAATCAGTGTTTCCTGAGCCCATGGCCAGCACAGGAATCCACACGACATTTCATGATGAGAGATAAGCTTTGGGGCATGCTGAGTTCTATGCAATAAGGGGATAAGAGACTAGGGAAGTGGGGAAGTCCATATAGTTCATTTGAGTCTGAATTTGGGTTTTTCAGCTAACAAGTCAATTTATTGAAAATAGTGGATTAATTTTTGGAAAGAGAATGCCACATCTTTTCTCACAAACTAGGAGTTTCTATCTTGTTTCCACATATATTCTACCTTAGATGATATTTCTGTGTTCTCCCTGCTTACTTTTTATTTGCAATTGCCTGCTAGCTCTTGTCTCCCCGCCTCCCCGCCCTTTTATTTTAACTTTTTGTTTGTGTTTTAGA